GGTTTCATCTGGTCAACAGCTTCTGCCCGCCTCCCCACCACCACCACCACCACCACCATCATCACCATCACCACCACCACCATCACCGGGCCCAGCAGCCGCAACAGACCCACCACCCCCCTCACCACCACCGGCCGCAGCCCCATCTGGGCAGCTTTCCCGAGAGTTGCAGCAGCGACTCCGAGTCCAGCTCCTACTCGGATCATGCAGCCAACGATTCGGATTTTGGCTCCAGTTTGTCCAGCTCTAGCAACTCTGTGTCCTCAGAGGAAGAGGAGGAGGAGGGAGAGGAGGAGGAGGAAGAGGAAGAGGAGGAGGAGGAGGAGGAGGAGGGGGGCAGTTGGGCCTCGGATTCCAGTGAAGTCAGCTCGGAGGAGGAGGACTCGTCCACAGAGTCAGACTCCAGCTCCGGCTCCAGCCAAGTGTCAGTGCAGAGCATCCGTTTCAGGCGCACCAGCTTCTGCAAGCCTCCTAGCGTGCAGGCGCAGGCCAACTTCTTGTACCATCTGGCCTCTAACCAAACCCGCTGCTTTCGAGGATGCCGGCAGACTTCCCGACCTCAAGAGTAGTGTCAAAGCGGAGTCGCCGGAGGAGTGGAATCTGCACGGCTGGGCCCCCAAAGCGTCTCCGGTGTACTGCCCGGCCAGCCTGGGGAGTTGTTTCACAGAGATAAGGAACGATAGGGTATCTGAGATTACATTCCCACACTCTGAAATTTCCAGTACTGTAAAGAGAACTGACCTGACAATTAACTGCCTGGCAGAGGGGGCCTCTTCACCTAGCCCAAAGACAAACAATGCATTTCCACAACAAAGAATACCCCGAGAGGCTAGGAAATGCCTACAAGCAACTCCTACTACACACTGTGCAGATAACAACACAATAGCTGCTAGGTTCTTAAATAATGATTCTTCAGGAGCAGCGGCAAATTCAGAAAAAGATTCCAAACTCCCTCATTGTCCTGAATTTGCTACGGATTTACCCTCTTCACAAACTGACCCTGCAGTGGATGCAGCAGCAGCAACTAAAGCCGAGGATCAGTGCACTGACATAGGAGACAAGACCTTGCCATTTCTGCACAACATTAAAATCAAGGTAGAAGACAGTAGTGCTAATGAAGAATATGAACCTGACCTTATTACAAATAAGCTAAAGTGTGAGTGCAATGATACAAAGGGTGAGTTTTACAGTGTGACTGAAAGTAAAGAGGAGGACGCCTTGTTAACCACAGCCAAGGAAGGTTTTGCATGCCCTGAAAAAGAAACTCCTTCCTTAAATCCACTGGCTCAGAGTCAGGGCCTTTCATGCACTTTAGGTTCTCCAAAACCTGAGGATGGGGAATATAAATTTGGTGCCAGGGTGAGAAAAAATTACCGGACACTAGTGCTGGGAAAACGACCTGTCCTTCAGACACCTCCAGTCAAACCAAATTTGAAATCAGCTAGAAGCCCTCGTCCTACAGGTAAAACTGAGACACATGAAGGAACACTGGATGATTTTACAGTTATAAACAGACGCAAAAAGGTAGCCAGCAATGTAGCATCAGCAGTGAAAAGGCCATTTAATTTCATGGCAAATTTTCCTTGTCCACCATCACTCATTATTGGGAAGGATGGGGATTTGTGGCCGGCGTATTCCTTAAATACCACTAAGGATTCCCAACCTCCTCACAAGGCCCATCCTATATGGAAATGGCAGCTGGGCGGTTCTGCAATACCTCTTCCACCTAGTCACAAATTCAGGAAATTTAATTCATAAAAATGTTTTGGAAGATATTTTCTTGAACCATATTACCTTCCTTTTGTTGTAAACTGCACAGGATGGTTTGTACAAGTCCATTAATGTGTTACACCCCTTTTGGAGTCCTGGTTTATCGCATTTTGAAGACAGAAATCGGATTACTTTTTTTCCATTGCGGGCTTTTTT